GTTTTAAAAAATTCAATACCTCAGATGTTTCAAGTAAATCCCGAAGATTCTTTTGAGGATAATGCATCCATTTATCTCGCTTCATTTGCAACTCAAGCTTGTTCTCGTTTGATTCAGTTTCTACTAACGCTTGAGAATCATCATTACCTCTAAGATTATAACAAAATTTCATAATTGAATATATTATATCGAAAAATGAAAACTGATTTATTATTTAAGATAAATACCGTTGTTTAAATTCATCTGCCTCTGGTATTTCGGGATTGACAAACATTTGACTTACATCATAAGCATTTGAGATTTAGACCTCACCTATAACAAAAATAAATAATAAGCAATTCAGTAGGTAGAAACATATTTCCAAGTATATAATAATGTGAATTTAGTACAAAATCGAGACATAAGTTTTTGTTATCAAAGAATAGCTCTATATTTCCCAATCTTAGCAAATCGTAGAAGACATATCACCATACCTTCAGTTTCTTGGCTAGCTGTATGAAGATTCTCAGCAAATTTACCCCAAAGGTAGCAAGCTAATCTTTGACCACTAATGGAAGAGCATATAGAGTTTTGAATCAATATGTATATAAGAATATATCAAAATAATTAATATATGAAACTTATGAAATGTCCACGAGACTAAATTACAACTCATTCCTTTGTTTCCCACCACTACACCCTATGGTTTCCAAATCATCCAAGTCTTGAACTTGTCCAATAACATCTACATAGAAATATATTGGTGTTAGATAGAGAAACAATGGAAATAATTTTTAAAAATGGACGAAAACTGACCAATAAGGAAGTTTGTATCTGTGGTACTTTCTATGGTTTTGAAATCAACCATATCAAGAAACATGTTATCATCACGGTGTGTAGAATCGCTGATTTTGGTGGTGCCATTAAAAGCTATGCGATACTTATGTTGAGTTGATCTGTATGCTCCACCAGCGGCAGACACACTGAAACGATCAATGTTCCTCCATACTCCTACACGAATATGTTTTGCCAATTCAGGAATGTATGTCTTGTTACACGAGGCATGGATCTTAGTTCCCTATATAAAAATAAATAAAACATTATAATTAATTTAAACTTTTACGAAATTAAAGGAACTGTATATAGATAAATATATTAAAAACAATAAACTTACCTTTGCATCACAAAGGATCAGTTCCATGGTCTCGCCTATGTCTTTCATGAAATGTCTCCATATATGAAGGATTTTGACTTGGATGCAACATGTATTTTTCCTCGGTTTGATATCACTCAAGAAAGACAACTGCAAATTATTCGCCATTTTTGTTTTAGCTTTTTGAAGGAATGATGAATATAGTGGTTAAGAGAGGCTATATTTATAATAGCTAGGGACGATAACCATTTTAGGTTACGAAAATGTAGGGAAGAATATTTAGAGAATTTTGAAAAATATCTCATTCAAGGAATAAGGAATATTAATGGAATATATTTTGAATTAGATAGGAAGTGTAACAGTTAATACTAATCCAATTACGGTAAATTACAGAAATATATGGAATCCAACCAAAAATAACTAACCACGATATTATTACTGGTTAATCTATAAACTTCTAGATGAAGCAATTTATTCATTTTAGCATTTGCAATATTTTCTTACGAAAACGTATCTCGTCATCAAATATCACTTATAGAATGATGATATATCGACATATTTGATATCACTATATCTCTTGCAGAAAACTATAGTTTATAAATATGGGTAAATTTAGTAACACATGACTTGGATATTTCATATGAAGAAAAAAAAAGATAATGAACGACACGAGAATGGATTCTCCATTGTCAAATGTAATATATAGTGAAGTAACCAAATGTATCAAATAATTATATTTGGATGTCAGGTCTGACAACTATATGAAAATCTTAATTTTTAATAATATAGTATCATATCATGGTTTTCGTATATGATGCATATACGAAAAAGATTAGTTACAAATGAAATAACAAATTCATTGATCTAATGTTACAAATAATATGATATCGAATGTTACAAATAATATTATATCATACAAAATCATATCTGGTATATGCATATTTTCAAAAGGACAATGTTTTATATCGGATGTTACAAATCATATCACGTATTTATGCATATACCAAAGGACAATGTTTTATATCGAATGTAACAAATCATATCACATATTTAATTACTCTGACCATATCTATACTACTAAAATGGGTTTTCATATATATTTGAATTATGTAATATATAGTATAGTAACCATATGTTACAAATCATATGATATCAAATGTTAAAAATCATATCATATCATACAAATCATATCACATATTTATACATATACCAAAAGGACAATGTTTTATATCGAATGTAACAAATCATATCACATATTTAAAATGGGTTTGATATATATTTTGAATTATGTAATATATAGTGTAGTAACCAAATGTTACAAATCATATGATATCAAATGTTACAAATCATATCATATTATACAAATCATATCACATATTTATGCATATACCAAAAGGACAATGGCTGCTATATCGAATGTTACAAATCATATCACATATTTAATTACTCAAACCATATTCCTTTGTATAACCAGGGTAATATAAATGTATAAAATATAAAATCAAATATGGTTAGAGTAATTAATGGAAAGAGAGAAAATAATTCGGGTTATATGCAATATGTGATTTGGTTTATAACAAATTGATATATATACAGATGTATGACCAAAAATAAATTACCAAAATGCCATTAATGAAGGTGTACACAACTTCCATCAGTCAATTTTTCAAGGATGCCTTTACTTTTAATAGTATAGATTGACATGAGAAATGATAACTAGGCCTGTAAAAAAAAACCAGAACCGAAAAACCGAACCGGAACCAAACCAAAATATCTGAAACTGAAACAGGACCGTTAAATATTGGTTCCTATATTTTGATATCCGAAAAACCGAACTGGAATCGGAACCGAACCGAGAACCGAATGGGTACCTGAATATCCGAAAACATGTTAATTTTTTTTTAAATAAGAAAAAATGACATATGCCCACTTGAATCCAGGTTAGATACAAAAAGTAAGTACATTTTTACCACCAGAGCATGTTATTTTTTATTTATTCTGTTATATTATAAATATATATGGTATATGTATATTAAAATATGATAAATATTTATAAAATTAACACTTTATTAATTCGAACTCTTGTTGGATTGACTAATATGTAAGCGTGTAAACACTACAGTATTTAAATTAACATATTAACTAATATATTTTATGTATATATATATATATTTGATTTATATATTAAATGGGTACCCGGAACCAAACCGAAACCGAACTCGAATCGAACCGAAACCAAACCGAAATCTCATAAGTACCTATTGGGTATAAGAATGATTTATCCGATATACCCGGGACCGAATGGTTCCTATCCGGAACCAAACCGAATATCTGAATGCCCAAGCCTATTGATAACAATACCCTTTTAGGAATTAATTCTGTCTTTTTAAATTTCTAGATCTTACAATAAAAAAGTTATAATAACCTCATATTAAAAACTAATATTTAAATAAAATAGTTGTGTAGTACCCAAAACTCAAAATTGAAAATACATAGAGCAGGACCTTGTGATCAGGTAGATGTGGACAACACGTTTCAGATTCGATTCTTTTACTGCACGAAACTAAGTTATATTGTTCTGATCACTTAACTCAGATATGAACTCATATTTTAAGCAAAAGAACAATCGGGTGACGTCAACAAATCAATATATGTTTTTAATCCATTCAAAATCAAAAGAAGCCAACTCCTGATACTATTTCTAGATAGTATAGTACACAACAAATCAATGAGTTGTGTAATACCCAAAACTCAAAACTGAAAATACATAGAGCAGGACCTTGTGATCGGGTAGATGTGGACAACACGTTTCAGATTCGATTCTTTTACTGCACGAAACTAAGTTATATTGTTCTGATCACCTAACTCGGATATGAATTCAACCAGTTCAAAAATTTTAAATTACAAAAAAAGTACATAGGTTTCTCTATTTCCAATCAAGAAACATATATAACATATATGTAAGTGTATAAAAGTTTAATGTTAAAAAGGGTTTAAATTCTGAAAGCGAACAAAATATTTAAATTCTTGTAAATACATTTTTGAACAAAATGGTTAATCTATTTGAAAAAAGTTCTACAGGTGGATAAAAATAAAATTTCAAAGATGAAAAGCAAATCAAAAATTTTAGTGTTAAAATAATAGAAGAGTTTAATCTTAAGATTTTTGGCAAAAGAACAATTGGGTGACGTCAACAAATCAATATATGTATTTAATCCATTCAAAATCAAAAGAAGCCAACTCCTAAAGATTATTTTTTGGACTATTAAAGTTGCACTCATAATTTAATTCAAATAATCTGAAATATAAAGTTCACAAGTTTTCTCTAATGTCATTGTCGAGCAAGTAACTTAGTGATTTCCGATGACTAAAGGTGTCACTTACATCATGTCCATCTACAGAGTGTGCATATAACATGGAAGAATTCTTTTGAGTTTCCTCCTCTTTAACTCATTTCCTACTTCTTTTCTTTATCGTCCGCTCATTATTTATTGCTAGAGGGTGGATTGAAAGTTGAATAAACATGTGTCAGCATAACAGATTTATTGTTGGCATTTTAGACCTCTTATACGTTTATATTCAAGGCGGTTTCGCAGCATAACAGATTTTCATATGTCAGTTCTTGTATTTGTTTCCCGGTTTACAGGTTATTGGATCTTCATAAACTGGTACATTCAATCAAAATAAAATAAATAAAATTTCACAAACCCTGAGGGAAAGGACCAAAATGCCAAATTTATTACTTTCTGATAAGGTTAAAAGTTAAAACCGAAAAAAGGAACACTCACATCTGGTTACATCTTTGGGTACTAGTCGGGCAATTATCTGGAAAAATTGGAAGAGATTGAAATGTTTCTTACTAAATCTCTCAATTGCAGAAATTGAGTTTCTTCATGACTTTTGCATATGCTGGTGGCACTAGTCCAGGCTGTCTCAATCTACGCTTTGATTTCTTTGACTGCAAACACACAACAGTTACATTACTCTCAACATTTATCCACCTGACTGACTCCACATTATAGACGGCGAAACCTAGAAGGAGAAATTAAAACAATAGATAAAGTATTGCAAATACAGCTTTTTTTTGTTTGTTGCAAATACAGCTTTGCCTACCATTTATCTACCTAAACAAGGAATCAACACTAAAAGTTGAAGCTAGTTCAATCACACTTTCTATGATAAACTTACTTTTGACCAGAAGCAAGTTCTGACCAATAATATTCCTAGTTATTATCATACTCTCCTTCCAGAGGCTTGGTAAAAGATTCACATCATAGAATGAGGAATAAGGTGTAGTTGGTTACCTTCAAGTGGGCGTTGTGGCGCTTGCCTTCTTTCCAACGACGAATGGTACCGTCATTCAGTGGTCTAAACCTGTCTTTGTATGACCTGAGAAAAAAAAACTCGTTGAGCGAGGCCCACGAAACTTTCCACCTAAGAAACCATTATGATGAATGTTTATAAATCTTGGGAATCAGATAACGTTACGAGTAAAACTTGATCTTGACTTTCTTGACTTTAGATGTGATTGGAGTCCTAGGTCTCCACTTCTTCTCCCATTTCGCCATTTTATCCTTGGAAGTGATATTCCTTGCTTGAACAAACTAAATAAGTACAAAAACAAGATAAGCCATCAGAGAAATAAATAGATGTTGCACAATATGAGAAACATATAATAACTGCTTTCTTCAAGGCCGTAACATACACTTGAGGGAAGTGATAGTAGTATCCATTTTTATTAGTTGGATTAAACAAGTATGAACAAATATTATCCCTTTCCCGATCGTGGATTCAAACAAGTATGAACAAATACTATTGTACTTCACATGATTAAACAACGGACGCGGAGAATTCACAACAAATCGACTAATCTGGCGAATCAAAACAGTTGGCAGAGGATTCGAGTTTCAGAAACTTACATGATGAGGAACAGAGATAGACCCCATGGTAGGATTCAACGGAGACAGGAAGCTCTATTTAGACCATTCACAACAAGAATCCTTAGGGGAGACGTTCGGGAAATCTCTTTAGATAAATATTAATTTTATAATCAGTGGGTCCTATGAATTATTTAAGGATTGATCCTTACACTATTCGCGGGCTCCACTGCCCACGTGGCAGCCTTCAAATGGTCAATTTTTTTAAAAAAAAAAAATCCGAAAAATCCTTATATAATCTGAAATACCATTTTTTTTTCTAAAGACTCCCCCTAAGGATTCTTTGTTGTGGATGCCCTTACTCGTCGTGGCGAAACCTAGGGTTGGCTGAGGGGTCGGGGAGTGGTGGATGAGACGGTGAGGAACACTGGTGAAAGAGAGATTCCTGTTTGAGTGGAGGGAAACATAACGTAGCTTAGTGAAAATTCTCTGCATTCTCGTCTCTTTTGATACACCTCCGAGGGACTGCCTTTATTTTGGTGAAATGGTTTGGGACTGTTTGGGTGTTAGGATAAGTCTATTTTCATACTCAAAAATATTATCCCGAATTCTGGTTATTTATGTTTTTGGTTTAGGAATCAACTAATATCCTAGCAAAATATTGATTTTAATTCGTTTTCAAGTTCAAATTTTTTGAATGCTGTCAGATCATTCGACTAAGGCCTTTTGATTGGTAGAGCATTATCCAATCAATATGTATTATAAAAATATTTAGATTAATATTATAAGATTAAATGCTCTACAAATATTTTTTGCTCAATGCTTTCATATGAAGTTTTTGGTATAGTATTTACAGTTAAAATATATAAAACTAAAAATAACTATATAATTTCTTTTATTTAATAATATTAAATTTATGTTTCTATCCAAAAAATAAATTTGTATTTAAAAAATAAAACTTGAAATTAAATATTTTAACTTATTAAAATGAATAATATTTTCACATTTAAAATACAATTTATATAATTACATATATCATTCATATTATTAGTAAAAACCCCAAAAATAAAATATATTCATATAATATAAATATAATGGCTATTCTCTCAAATACACCTTTTTAAGTTTTTATCACAAAATAGATCTTAAAAATTAAAATGACCAAAATAACATTTTTATTTTCAAATTTTAAGTTTTTTTTTTTAAAAAAAAAATTGAATTCTTATCCCAAAAACCCCACTCCTCAACTCTAAATAAAAATGTCTGAGATTAGTTAACCCAAAGGGTATAAGTGTATATTTACTTATTTTTATAAAACATTTAAGTCTATTTTAGGCATATTGTTTTTAAGATTTATATTTGTTACAAAAACTTTTTTAGGTCCATCTTAGGAAATTTCTCTAAATATAAAAAAAATCTATATATTATAAATATAAATATATTTATAATATTTAGAAATAATTAAATTATATATCATATATTAAATTTATGATAATTTTATACATGGATCATATATTGCTATACCAATAAATAAATAAATAAAAATATGATAAATTTATATATGAATCAAGATTTGACAAAAAGAATATCTGAGGAAGAGGTTGAGGAAGCACAACTTTGATATTGGTCCCCATAAAGCTCTTGGTCCAGATGAATTTACAGCCGTCTTTTATCACAAGTTACAGGTAGATTTGAAACCTTAAGTTATGAAAGAGATATTTGATTTGTGCAATAAAAGCATCTTCCCCCATGTTCTCTTTAACCTGATATGCTTCCAACAAATACCAACACATAAGATTCCTTAAGAGAAAGGTTTAAGACTGAACGCATAATCTTGAATCACCAGAGTTACCTGCAATGGACGATGGTGTAGCGTACGAATGGGTGAACGGTCGATCTAAGAATTCAGGGTTCTTAGAGACTTGTTCTTGGGTTGATTAATAGTTTCCGAAGATATCTTTTTGAGACAAACTTCTTGATTGATGAATTGAATCGAATCGAGCAAGGGATAAAAGCAAAACTCTTCTTATTAAAAATCAAAACATCTCCAAACATTATGTCTAGCATCTGTTAGAATTAGGAATCTAATTATTAACATAAAAAGGGAATAACATGATTATCAGGGAATATCATGATTATCAGAAAAAACAAAATAAAGAAATAACATGATTATCAGGAAGTATCATGATTATCAGTAAAAAAAGGAAATAGACCAAATCGTTGAAGCTGTATGATTTGGACTTGTTACTTTGGCGCCAAGTAAAGAGATGCTGCTGCATCAGGTCCCCCAGAGTAAATAGGATTCGACTTCGAATCAGTCGGCAAGTGCGGAGGAATATACTTGGACAAATAACGGATGTTAAAGACGTTTGATGTTGTGTTATCCGATGGTAGTTCAAGACGATAGACATTGTCGTTGATCCTAGCTGCAATTCGTACAGGTCCTATCTTCTTGGACTTGAGCTTGTTGTATGAACATACGGTCCCACGTCAAGTGAACCCAAACCAAGTCTCCCTCATCAAAAAACAAACGCCGGCGACGAGAGTCAGCAGTTGTTTTATATTTAGCAGTAGCAGGTTCAAGTTGATGTGTTGTTTGAGTGTGAGTTTCCAAAATGTAGTTCGCAAAGGTCGACCCATCACCATGTATACGATTACGATCGAGAATGGTTGACAGATCAACCGGCGCACAGGGAAGAATGCCGTAGATAACCTGAAAGGGACTGAGACCAGAACTGTGGTTAACGGCACGGTTGTGAGTGAATTCAGCTTGAGGTAAACGTGCATCCCATGTACGCACTGCATCACCGACTAGACAACGTAAAAGGTTACCAAAGAACGATTAACGACTTCAGTTTGGCCGTCGGTTTGAGGATGATAAGCTGAACTCATATATAAGCCAGTGTTAAGTAATTTCCAAAGAGAACGCCAGAAGTGTTCGAGAAAGAAGGAGTCCCGATCAGAGACGATGGATGAGGGAAGGCCGTGCAGACGATAAATCTCGCAGAAGAAAAGGATAGCCACTTGTAGAGCTTCATGATTTTCTTGCATGGAATAAAATGGACCATCTTGGAGAAGCGATCAACAACCACAAAAATTGAATCATAACTTTTTTCAGTTCATTGTAAACCACAAAATCCATGGTTATATCTGTCCAAGGTTGTGTCGGTATAGGCAGCGGAATATATAAACCAGCATTCGATGTATGTCCTTTAGATTGCTGGCAAGTGACACACCTTTCGACGAATCTCTCAACATCGAGGCGCAAGGAAGGCCAAAAATAGGAGATCGAGAGCAAATGTTATATGGCCTTCGCCATGGATTTCAGAGATCAACTGGAGACGCAAACTACAATCGGGAATACATAACCTGTTGTCCCGAAACAAGAATCCATCACACAATGTATATGGGGACGGAAGGCCGGCATTTGTATCTGAAAAGATCTTCCCGAAGAAAGAATCAGACTCATAAAGGTCTGCAAAAGAACTAAAACCTGTCACTGTGGTGTGCATTGTCGTGAGCAAGGTGTGACGTTGGCTAAGTGCATCTGCTACTCGGTTAGAAGAACCCGATGTATGCTTAATAACGAACGTAAACTGCTGGAGATATCCAATCCAAGATGCGTTCCTTTCTGAAACCTTTCCTTGCATGCTTAGGTGTTTTAGAGCGCCGTGGTCCGTATAAAGAACAAATTCTCTATGAAAGAGATAGTGACGCCAATGCTTTATCGCTTGGACTACGGCATAAAATTCAATGTCGTATGTGCTATAACGGAAGTCGAGCATTGGAAGGCTTTTCACTAAAAAAAACTATGGGCCGATTTTGTTGACTTCAAACCGCCCAATACCAGTTTTAGAAGCATCCGTATGTACCTCAAAGACCTTAGTGAAGTCCGTTAAGGCCAGAATCGGAGTTGTGCAGAGGTTTTCTTTGATTGCCTGAAACGCGTGATCTGCAGCTGAGATCAAAAGAAATTTCCATCGCGAATACAGTCGGTAATGGGTGCCATAAGACTACTGAATTGAGGTACAAATCTGCGGTAAAACGACGCAAGGCCGTGGAAGCTTCCGGTTTCTGTAATCGTTGAAGGTTGTGGCCACGATCGTATTGCATAGACTTTGCTAGGATCCACTGAAAGCCCCTGGTCGGAAACAATATAACCAAGGAAGTGGACTTCTTTGACGCCATAAGCACACTTCTTGCGAGTTGCAAAGAACTGATCCGGACGAAGGACTAAGAGAACCACGCGTAGGTGGATTACGTGATCCGCAAACGAGGAACTAAAGACGAGGATGTCATCGAAGTATACCACGACAAACTTGCCAATAAAAGGACGCAAAGCTTGATTCATGATACGCATGAATCACTACAAGAAGTATGGTTAGTAATAGCAGACGGAAAACGCTATGCTGATGTTTTAATAGCGCTTTCTAAAACGCTCTAACAACGCCCATTATAATAGGTCCAGCAGTTTTAATAGCGTTTTTTTGTGTTTGCTATAGTTAGCCTTAAAAAAATAGCGATAATGTTTATGCAATTGTTAATATCTATAATAACGTTGTACCAATGTTATTAAAACATATTATTTAGATTTTTCCAATAGCAAAAATAGCAAAATATTTCGTGCTATTATTTATTAATAAATTATTTGAATTTTTTTTAATATTAGTTACAAATTGATTTTATATTTTTAAATATAATATAAATTCTAAAATTTGAAATAAAAAATTAAATTTATTGAAAATTCCATAAGATAAACATCTTGTTCATGCAAACCACAACACAAACATAAAAACTATAAATCTACCACTAATAAACGTTCACAATCATCTCCAACATAAACGCTATCATCATCAGAAGATTCATCACCCAAATCATCTACTTCTTGGACATGCAAAGATGCACCAAACCAAAGTTTACAAACAAACCGGGTTTATTAATCTAACCCTATCTAAACCAAACCTAATAAACCAACCAAAACTAAACCTAATATATTCCCCTGCCATCACCTTCCTCTTCCATCTTCTCACGTCGCTGTCTTCTTCCACTTTATCTCTTTTTTTTTTCTTCTTGTTCGGCTTATCTCCACCGGCATAGCTTCTTCATATCTGGCTTCTTCCTGTAACAAGAAAAAACAAATTAAAAATCAAATAATTTCCGAAATCTAAAACTTAAATTCCAAACTTTTACACTATCAGAAACTGTTCAAACTGAAACTCAGATCTTAAACAGCTCAGATTAATTTTGAAATTGTCTTAAACTTAACAATATCAATTGAAATAAGATCAAGCATAAACAGAAATATATTAATAATATTCTCAAACCCTACACAAGCAAACACAGATCTGATTTCTCTGCAAGAATATGAAAACTCTACACTCATAACTCTGATAAAAAAAAACTCAAACTCTACTCTATCAGATTTCAACACCACAAACAACAGATTGATCAAATTACAGCAGAATATGAAAAGTCCAGAAAAAAATCAGTGAGAAGATGAAGAGCACTCCCCGGATGAACGGGAAAAAGGGCAATTCATACATCAACAGGGGCTCGCGGTCCCGATCAGTACATAAACTCACATCATGTGCTAAAACATACATCAATTCAAATTATATTCAAATTTCATACGCCAACCAACAATTTTTGGTAAACTCATACATTGACCGTGTCTCCATTAGTCAAATATTAACGGAGTCTTACGTGGATTAAACGGATGGTGATGTGGATTAATACGTGGAAATTAATCCCAAAACGACGTAGTTTTATTTAAAAAAATTCCATTTCAGTTTTGGAGGGGATTCGAACTTGGGTTCTTCTCATTAACTCATCCCTTATTTGACCACTCTGCCATATAGGCATCATTGGTTTAATTCATCATGTATATATTTAGCACTCATCCGTTCCGGGTTTCCTACAAATTTTTTTTTGTCATTTGGTGTATGGGATTCAAACCCGGGTTCACAAGAACACCCCATCCCCCACTCGACCACTCTACCATGAATGCTTTATTTGTTTAATTCATCATCTTTAGATATATTACGTTTGGTAAGAATTGTTCAAAATTAATTTTGTTAATTTAAAACAAATGTATAAACTATTGTCAAACTATATTGAATAAAACAAATGTATAAACTATTTTTAAAATACAATTTTTGTATTTCTATTTTTAAATTTATTACATAAACTCATATCATCAGAAGTTTCAATATTTTTCGATGCAATTCATAATTTACTTAATACTATAATAATATTTTTATAACTGTGAAACTTTTTTTCTAAATGAAAATAAAAATTAAAACTGCCATACCATATATATTTCATGCATATACTTTAACAAAATTAATATCTCACCAGTTTTTTATTTCTATGGTGGTAAAAAGTTTCTAAATACTTTCATATTATATTATTATCTTCAGTATTAGAATGAACAATTATTTTATTTTATTTTAGGGCATCTAATAATAAATATTGGATATTACCTATTTTATTTGCTTATAATAGTACACCATCAGTAAATATTAGTGTTTTAGATTTGCACACATATCAATAAAAAATTTTAATACCCAGGTTTTGGGTTTGAATTTCTGACAATGTAGTTTCTTACTTTATAAATACAAAGTTTATCAGAGATTTCAGAGCACCAAAGGCAGATATAAGTGTTTCGGAAAAAAGCTTCATCGTGCAATCATTATTCGTGAAGTTGTTCATCAATATTGTATTTGTTACAGATATGATTATCGTATGTAATAGAATTAGGATTATATAATGATGTAAATGGTATTTTACCTTGTGTTAAAAAATAAAAAATAAAATATACATTTCTATCTATTGCTTTTAAATATCATTTTTAAATTTTATATGTTCTCAATAAATTTTAGTTAATTTTTTATTTTAAAATCAAAATATTAATTAAAGTCAAAACATCATTATCTTAAGGGATAATTTGAAAAATATGTTATTTATGATTTGATATTTGAGAATTACACTTTCTTTTTTCCTTTTTGAAAATTACACTTTGTTACATATAATAAGACACTCTTATCCTTTTTATTTAGAATTAAAATTTTAATAACTAATTAATTAATAAGATATATATAATTAAAATAAACTTATCAATATAATAAGTATTATATGTGTTTGTGGTGACGTTTTGAGATAAAAACATATTAATCTCGTTGATCCTTTGTATCTTCACACATACAAGGACGAAGGGACTGAATCATACACAATTTTTTAAAGAAATTATTTACAACGGCAAGAGTTCTCCTTGTTCCAGATTCACCAAAGTTCATTAGATATCATCTCTTCTTTATATCACTGTGTGATAATCAAAGAAGAAAGTTGTAAAGAATTTTTTTTTTTTTGTATGAAGAAAGTTGTAAAGAATTAACTATAGTAAAAAGAGAAGATACATCTATGCACCCTATGCTACTTATATATATTTCTTCTCTGGGTTGGGTTTGTTTCATGTGTCTAATCGTGCATTAAAAAAAAATCTTGCATCCAGAAGAAGTGATCATTTAGTTATTATTAGAGATGTTTGTGTTATTTATTGATGGGTTTTCGTTTTCTTTTAAATCATAAGAACAAGAATACTGGGAATTTGCTATTGGTTGTTATATCTGATAATTGTTGTTGATTTTTTTTTTGAAATACGTGTGATTCTAAAGTGGTTTATGTTTTTAACAAAATAGATATTACAATACTTATATATTTTAATTGGATAGTTTGGTAATTTCATTGAGGAATAAGTGTAGTTTTCCAAACAAATATAAATTGGTGTAATTTTCAAAATAAAATCTCTTATGAAGGTAATTTTCCAAAATTTCCCTTATCTTAAACATTTTAATGAGAAATTTTCTATGATAGCCATATTTAGTTTATTTTCGCAAAAAGAACCCCCAAGAAAGAAATGAATTAAAAGAAGTTTTATTAAATGATAAATATATTTTTATATATCTAGGATTTGTAAACTCTAGACTTTTTTTTGTTTAGAATTAAGGGGTTTGAGGGTTGGACTTTTATACATCTAGGGTTTTGTGTGTTGGATTTAATATATGCAAAAATAGTAAATAAATATTTTAAATTTTAAAATAATTTTTTTTAAAATAGTTTCAAAAGCATTTTTGAATTTCAAAAAGAATAAAGATTTCAAAAAAAATAATTTAAAACAAAATTATAAAAAAATTCGAATTTGAAAACATATAATCAAAAATTATAAAAAAATATATTTATATTATTTTTCTATATTTAAAAAGCAAATTACATAAAAGTCTTTTTCCTTTTAATTTTGCCTCTTTTGCCTCGTTAATGAAACTTCTTTTAATCATTTTTTTTCTTTGAACTTTTTTTTTTGTTAAAAAGTACTTCAAAAATAGTTGTTTCAGAGAATTCACCTATTATAAATACTGAAAGAGTATATCTTATTAATAAAAATAAAACATAGACTTTGAAATTTACCACAATTGAGGCAATGGCAACTCAAATTTGGAACTTTAACATTCACATACGTGTTACCAAAAAAAAAAAAAAAGCATTCACATACATATCTTAAAGACACCCGAGACATTGAGTCTTTACCTATTTTGACCCCTAAAAGTTAATTAAACTTAGTTACAAAAAAAAAAAAAAAAGTTAATTAAACTCACTTACGGCAAAATACATACTTGATGGTTTAAGAGTGTACTGTTCTGATTAAAAAAAAATCAAGTTCGTGCCACATAGCTAATAAACACAATATTAAAGCAATTATTTTTTATTCAGATCAAGATTCAGAACATATTTAAGTAAATATCATCAGTTCTATTAAGCTCGAATTAACTGGAATGCTTTCATGCGCAAAACTTGCCATCAATGACCTTGAACTCGAAGCTAGTGTCCCATACGTATTTGAAAACAAAGTCTCCTTGTATACCTTTGCTGAGGAGACACACGTCACCGGTTTTTGTCAACGGATCAACAGGCACGATTGATTCAAAACCGGTGCACGACAACTTTAGGTTAGTGAGTAAGCAAAAACATGGGTTGTTCAGTGTCACTTTCCACACCGGTTTGTTCTTAACCATTCCGGACTTCGATTGTCTCAGAGTTACGTCATCAAGTCCACACATTGGTTCAGATCCTTCCAATTGTAACGAAAATATAGTATTATATTATTGTAAACAAAAACACATAAAAGTCTTTATTATATTACGTATTCAAAGTATTAATACCGTGGGCGACGAAGGTGATGGTGGCGAAGACGACGAGGAGGCAAAGAAGTTTGCAAGCCATATTTGGGTCTGGTCTTTGAAATTTGTATCAAACAAAGTTAGGAAATTGTAGTAAGTATTAACTGAGTGTGTAGCTGTTGAGATGTGTTCTGAGTTTTTATAGTGACGAATTGGGTTTGAAACGTACGTTTTGGTATTAATTACACCACTGACCAAAACTAAATGTTTCTTTTTGTCAAAAGTTTAAACATCATGCACATGGTCGAAGGCAGTGCTCATGCACAGGGTCAAGCAGGAAACGTCAAAAGAAAACTGAGAAGATACGGAGAGGGATTAAAAGACTGTTCCATCATATAACAATAGGGTACCATTAAAAAGACCAATAAGTAGCATATAAGGAGAGGCACCTGCAGGAAACGCCAAAAGAAAATATCGAGCCAAAATTGTCGAACGTCGATATTTGGAACATCTCCGCAGAATCTTGGTACAAATCAAACTTGTTTCTGAGACAAAATATATAGATGTAGCTTTTATCATCAGATTCAGCTGTGTGAGATAAAGTCTCAGAATCGATTGTATGTGTGTTTGTGTATGCAAAAGAACGTATAAGCTGTTGCTTTGTTTTATTTCTTTCTTCCTTAACTTTCTTTCTTGTAGTAGATTATCTTACATTAGATCTTCTTATATAGGTAATCGAAATCTTAACTTTATCCTATTACCGAATGATCTAGGAATTTTTAACTTAACTTATCTTTATCCTAAACCTTATTAATATGTAGTTATCCAAGTTTCTTTACGATAACTTGTTGTCTAAGCTATTGAAGCTTATCCTTCTAAGCTTTAAGCTCTCTTCACTTAAGTCTTAAACTCTGATCAGCGCCCTCATGTCTTTGAATTTGATCTTTGCCAACGCTTTGGTTAAGATGTACGCTCGTTGCTCTGTTCCTGCTATCTACTCTCACTCAATACATTTCCTGCTAAAATGGAAACGTTTGTGAATGTGTTTTCTACGCTTATGAAACACTGGGTTCTTAGCAAGCGCAATTGCTGTTTTGTTGTCCACACGAATCACTGTCCTTACAATCTTCCTTCCCATGATCTCACTTATTAAGTCTTGTAACCAAATAACTTGTTTAGCAGCCTCTGTTGCTGCCATAAATTCGGCTTCACATGATGATAGAGCCACCGTGTATTGTTTCTGTGAACACCATTGTAACGCCCCGACCGTCCACGGCTAATGGGCCACCCACGCCCGCTCTGTCGACCCGTGGGCCCCATCCCGTTCCAACGATCGGTCCGTTAGTTTTCTAAGGTTCTAGAGTCATGTTTACTGACCCTGCAATCACCACCCGACCTTTCCCCGTGCTTTGGCCTCACTTACACGGTATCGCAAATCACTTCATGATAGATCACCCATCCTTTGACTACTCCAGCTCAAGCACGCTTAACTCTGGAGTTCTCTCTGGATGAGCTCCCGAAAAGGTAAGTGCACTTTAGTGACATAGGTAGCCAAATCAATTCTCTTAAGCCTTTTCCGAATACCACAAACCGGGATGTTACAATTCACCCCCTCTCAAAGAACGCAACGTCCCTGTTGCGCCCCAAGATCGTTACCCCTGTTAGTGTGAGCCCTCACTAACTCCACACTCGTCGGGGTTCGGCTCTGATACCACTTGTAACGCCCCGACCGTCCACGGCTAATGGGCCACCCACACCCGCTCTCACAGCCTGTGGGCCCCATCCCGTTCGAACGACCGGTCCGTTAATTTTCTAAGGTTCTAGAGTCATGTTTACTGACCCTGCAATCACCACCCGACCTTTCCTGGTGCTTTGGCCTCACTTACACGGTATCGCAAATCACTTCCCGATAGGTCACCCATCCTTTGACTACTCCAGCTCAAGCATGCTTAACTCTGGAGCTCTCTCTGGATGCGCTCCCGAAAAGGTAAGTGCACTTTAGTGACATAGGTAGCCAAATTAATTCTCTTAAGCCTTTTCCGAATACCACAAACCGGGATGGTACAATTAACTTGTAATACCCCAACCGCCCACGGCTAATAGGCCACCCACGTCCGCAATCTCAGCCTGTGGGCCCCATCCCGTTCCAACGGTTGGTCCGTTAATTTTTCAAGGCTCTAGAGTCATGTTTACTGATCCTGTAATCACCACCCGACCTTTCCCCGTGCTTTGGCCTCACTTACACGGTATCACAAATCACTTCCCGATAGGTCACCCATTCTTTGACTACTCCAGCTCAAGCACGCTTAACTCTGGTGTTCTCTCTGGATGTGCTCCTGAAAAGGTAAGTGCACTTTGGTGACATAGGTAGTTAAATCAATTCTCTTAAGCCTTTTCCGAATACCACAAACCGGGATGTTACAACTATGTTATTTGTGTGTCCCCAATATAGAACAGATGACCCGTAGTGCTTCTTCCATCGTCTGGATTAGTGTTGTGACTACTGTCACTGAATCCAACAAGACCTTTAGACCCTCCTTGCTTAAACTTTAATCCGAAGCCGAGAGAACCCTTTAGGTACCTTAAAACTTGCTTCAGTGCTTTATCGTGAGATTCCCTTGGTGATAGAATGAACTACTCAGTATTCCCACGCTGAATGCCATGTCTGGCCTTGTATGCATTAGATATCTCAAGCAGCCAATTCTTTTTTTTGTATATACTTGCATCTATTTCAGGTTCGTCCAATGCTTTTGAAAGATGCACCCCAAACTCCATTGGTATACAAGTTGAATTGCAGCCGTCCATATCTGCTTCTTTTAGAATACGTCGAGCATAAGCTTCATGCTTGATCAAGATTCCTTGTGAGCTTTGTTTTACCTCTATACCGAGATAATAGCTTAATAACCCAATGAAAATGAATGACATCTATACATATTTAATATCCATCAGTTCTGGATTCCCGAAAAAATCATTTTTATTTAATTTAGAGGAGGATTTGGACCGGGTTATAAACTCAAATTTTTTGATTAAAATATATAAATAAATTGAAACTTCCAATTTTCTAAAATTTAACATTTCAACAATTGTTTTGACGTTTTTTACAAAACATTTGAGCAATTCTTACCAAATCCTATATATGTATATATGATGTAATGAACAAATAAATCATACATGGCAGAGTGGTCGAGTTGGAGATGGGGGGTACTGTGGGTAACCCGGGATCAATTCCCCTTATACACAAAATGGAAATGTATTTTTGTGGGAAACCCAGAACTGATGAATGCTAAATATGTATATATGATGTTATGATGTATTAAACCAATGATATGTATATGGCAGAGTGGTTGAATAGAAGATGAGTAAATGCAGGGAACCTAGGTTCGAATCGCTCTTGAAACCAAATTGAATTGATTTTTTTTATAATAAAACAACGTAGTTTTGGGTTTGTAAATCCACGTCATCATTCGTTAAATCCACGTAAGACTCTGTTAACATTTGACTAACGGAAACACGGTCAATGTTTGAATTTACCGAAAACAGTTGGTTGGCGTATGAAATTTAAATATAATTTGAGTTGATGTATGTTTTAGCACATGGTGTGAGTTTATGTATGGGAAAATTGTCATTTAAATCACCAACTTTCAAATTTGATTGAAATAAAACACCAACTTTCTCATAAGCCAAAAAATCACTTAACTTTTGTTGACAAGCCATTTTAATCATAAACTTTCGTCGACCATACCAATTTAGGCATATCGTTAGTCAACCGTTATAGTTGACTAACGGTAGGCCTAAAATGGCTTTTAAAGTTGGTGTTTTTTTTGGCACAAATATAAATCAACAATTTTTCAATATTTTAGCTTTTAAATATTGAAACTTTTAATAACTATAACACTAATAAATAAAATTGTAAATATAAAATAAATTCCATTTAAAAATATAAAAATAACTCAATGTAAAATTATTAATTAACATATCCTTAATTGGGTATTTTAGTTAAAAAATGATTATGATTTTTAAATTATTTACGATTAATTTTTTAAAAATATTTGTACCATCCTACACGGATTATGTTTTATAATTTTACTGTCAAAAATTTGTTAGTAAAATATTATTTTAATTCTTGATTTTTTAAACAAAATGAGTTACCAGATAACAAAAAAAATTATCTATTTTGGTGAAACTTATTTTTTTTTTTTAGATGCAGAAAACCTCTTGTAAAAATTTTATAGAAAATATATAGATTTGTTTGAAGATCTTTATTATAAACTTAAAGAATCATGAATAATTCGTTAATCGGCAATTTTTTCATTTAAGAAACACGAGTTGAATTAATATTTTATCAACAAAATTTTGAAAAAAAAAATTATAAAACATAATTCAAATAAGATTATATAAATATTTACAAAAATTAATCGTAAATAATTAAAATATTCTTATCATTTTATAACTAAGATACTCAATTAATGTATGTTAACTAATTATTTTACATTGAGTTTTATTTATATTTTTTCTAGAATTTTTATTTATAGTTGTATTTATTAGTGCTTCTGTTATAAAAATATTTTCAATATTAAAAATATATCCAATACTGTAAAAAAAATATTGATTTATATTTGTGCCATAAAAAAACATCAACTTTGAAAGCCATTTTAGGCCTACCGTTAGTCAACTATAACTGTTGACTAACGATATGCCTAAATTGGTATGGTCGACGAAAGTGTGTGATTAAAATGGCTTGTTAACAAAAATTGAGTATTTTTTTGGCTTATGAAAAAGTTGGTGTTTTATTTCAACCAAATTTGAAAGTTTGTGATTTAAATGACAATTTTCCCGTTTATGTATTGATCGGGACGGCGATCGCCTGTTGATGTATGAATTGGCATTTTTTCCCCCGGATGAACTCTCTCTCTCTCTCTCTCTCTCTCTCTCTCTCTAACACACACACACACACACACACACACAACGAGATCTGCTCAAATGTGGGGAAATAAATAAATGAACAATTAATCTCAATCGTTGATTTCATTATCATTCAAAGGTGCAAAATAGTGATCCATGCCAAACCAATAGAAAAGAAGAGTGAAGATAGATAAAATATTG